GAGGCACCGCGTCACAACGCAACACAACACAGCACAGCGCAACACAACGCAGAGCAGCGCCAAGCGGGCCGGCCCGGCCCCAGCCCCGGGCAGGCGGCGTGGAAATGAGATGCACATTTACCCTTGACGCAGGGCAGGCCCGGCAGCGGCTCCCAGGTTAATTGCTACTTAATGGAAATCATGCCCATGAATATCCTTCCCATCATTTCACCCTTGGCGGACGACGTTAGCGAAGCAGGGGAAAAAATGCATGGGGGAGCATTAGCATCGCTGGGGGACGGAGTCCGAGCTCGGGCATAATGTTCCCAGGAGGCCGGGAGGCGATGCAGAGGCCGGGACGGGCCGGGCATTTCTGGGTGTGCAGGTCGCGCTGAGCCCCCTTCCCGGGCCGCCCCGGGCCCAGCACGGCTGGTTCCCGCTCCGCTCTGCCCCTCGGCTCGGATCCAGGGCCCCGATCCCGCCTGTGACCCGAGCGCCTTGGCCTTGAGCCTGCTGCAGCCCCCGTGGGCACCCTCGGAGGCAGGACCCTGTCCCTAGAGAGGGGAGGCTGCGGGCGTGCCACGCCGACCCCAGTGCCCGGCTGTGAGCGGAGCGCGGGGAAGGGCCGACCCCACGCGTGAGCCTCTCGTGGCAATCGAGGGAGCATTCGTGGCTCCATCCAGGAGCATCCCAATCCCCCGCCCCGCTCTCCTGCCCCGCTAACTGCTCTTCCCCGCGCTCTGTTTGCAGGGAGCCAGAGCCCAGGCCGAGGGGGCCCCACCTCTGCACCGGACCCGGTACAGCAGCCCGGGCCAGGCCTGCACGAGCCCGCCGAGGACGGGCAGATGGAATAAGCCCTGCGAGCAGCCTGGGAGCAGCCTGGGAGAGGTTCAGCCCCGTGACCAGACACGGCCTTGGAAATGATCCTGGGTGTCGCCCGCCCTCGCCAGCGTGTCAGCACGGCTCCCTGCCTCCGGGCCCGTCTCTCGGGGCTACTCAGGACACCGCAGCGGCCGGGCCCTGCCCTACCCAGCCTGGGCTGTGCGGGAGCCTCTGCCCGACACCGCAGCAGAGCGGGCACCGGGCAAGCGGAACAAGCCCCGGCCCCTGCACCGGGACGGGCGGAGGGGGAGGCCGGGCCGGACTGGGCCTGCTGGGTGCGGCAAGCCACGCGGCCGTGCAGAGCCTTCCCTTCCAATAAACCGGTGTGATTCACTCCAAACGTGAACGCGTTTTATTCCTTAATCCCATCGATATTATTGCCCACAGATGAGCGGGCAGACAAAACTCAAACGTGTGTTTCGTATTAAGGAAAACAGACTCCAGTTCTGACCTCACCAATCCCTCTCTCTCTCTCTTTTGTCGGGAAAGCACAGGGACAAGATCCCCATTTCGGCGACAAAGTGAATCATTTGCAAATGAGCTCCTTACCTCCGTCACCCTTGATCTCTCTAAACCTCAGGTTCACATGCCAAGAGCCTGGGGATCGATCCAAAGGACACACGAGGCATTTGCTTAGGGGCTGTTCAGAGCTTCGAGCACTTTCAGTTTTAGTTTAAAAACCAGACTCGCAGACAGCCCTCTTCCACAGCAGGCCCAACCCAACGGCCTTACATCTGGTTTTTATTTTGCAGCGCTTAACCGCTAGGCAAGGGATGTTGATCAGTGTATTTGTCAAGATTTAAATGTAAGGCAACGAGAAGAAGCAGCCCGGAGAAACGTGTTCGTTTCCACATCCTGGGTTGATATCACCAGATGTGGTGTCATGCCCGTGTAGTCGGGGACCTCCTATCAGCTCCAAAGAACCGATCGTGCAAGCTTCCCTAATCTATCTTTTTAGATCAGAATAAAGAATATTCCCCCGTGTTTATTTTTGGTTACAAACATCAAAATCATGATTAAAAGTGGGATTATATATTATATACATTAATAAAATGTCCCGCTCGAAAACCAGACATTAAAATTCAGGCCTCATAAAATGGAGCAATAGCGCTCTCTAGTGGTCAAATGCAACCTTGATCGGAATCAGACGGCTTTCACTCTTGGTGTATACATATTTACTCTACTTCGATTCAAAAGTAGCTGGGTTTTTTTTTTTTACCTTTGGATTCGATGATTTACCGTCGTACTTGCTCTTATGTTCCTCATTCAACCTCCGAAGTCATTTCCACAGCTTATACCCAACCCAAAGAATGTATATAGCAGCAGTTTTCACATAGAGAAAAGGAGGTTGTACAGACCGTGGTATATAGCCTGAATCCTACGTCTAGTAGTCACAGAAAAGCCTTTTACCCAAAATTCACAGTGCCATGTCTTTTTAGCATAGATATACCATCCTTTAATCCCCACAACTGACTAAATGTAAACTATAAGTGTCCCCTTCACACAAGACAGGCAGGAAAAAAGAAGTAGATGTCTACTAAGCCAGTCTTTGCGGTCCGCTGCTATCACGATTTTGATCCCGATTCTCTACCTACTGCACAACGATTATCTGATATTTTCAACTTCAGAATTTCCCCGCCTTGAACTTGTTTTTGATCTGATTATATACATTTGCACTGCAGACGAAACGGAAGACTGTTCTTTTGTTTAGCCCTCACATGCCATTCCGTCCAAGTTTTAGTTATGTTGTAATAGCATGATTTGATATTTTAATTTTTAAATCACAGACGACACACGGAAATTAGAGTGGGGTTGCGATGCCCTGGTGAATACTTTGTTTCAGTGGAAGTTGGAGGCCGCCTAATTGTTTCAAATGCCTATTTTTCCGCCTGCCATTTTGAAATAAGCAGAGAAGCAACATGCAAACAATGACAAGTGTGATTCTGCCTTCGTGACTCAAAAATTATAAAATCAGGTTCGACCTATCTTGCAAGGGCTTGATTTCAGTATCTTCCCAGCACTCTGATAAAATCCACAAAATGAAGTATCCTTCTTGCAATAATACGGTTTAGTGACATTAGTTACAGATCAATCAATACACAATGCTATTTTCCAAAACATGCATGTGCTTGCAGTAGGATTAATCACCGAATCACACTTCTATAAATATATTTCCACAAATGCATTGATTTTTTTAAAGAAATCGCTTTATGTTTCGACCTTAGCGTCTTTCCTTGCCTGCTCTGCCTTGGCCCAACGCTGACATGTTGAAATTTATAGTCCAGATTTTAAGACCTGGGTTGTCTGCATTTTTGTTTTCTTCTAACAAACACAAACATCAAAATAAGATGGTTTCAAAGAAAAGCGCCATAGCATATCGTAAACTCATTAGGTCCAGACGTCTAGCCATCTCAATGGTTTTATTATACCTCGGTTCTTCCTGTTTTAAAAGAATTATAGGTATAGGGTCGACAATGGATGGGGAATCCATGCAACACCTTTTCCTAATACTCTGCTCCTTTGCCTTTTTTAACAGAGGTAAAAACGTTAAAAACCAGGTCTCTGCAACTCTTCTGAATCTTAAATTAACTGAACTGCTCATAAATATTTACGGATCCTTCATTTTAATAGTTGCTCTTTAAACAAAGCATTTTTTACAATGAACTTCATCTTAATTATCCTGATAAAGTCCTCTGTGTTTATAAATGCTGAAAGCAGGAGACTGGTTGCTAAACAGACCCGCACGCACATCCCGAGCTGATAACTTGGTAGTGGTATGTGTCCATTCCGAGTCTCTGAGTTGTTCAGGTTAAATAGCACCGAGATTAGAAATAGGGACGGGGGAGATTTAAGAAAGCATGCATCATCTTAAATCATTGCCTGTGGAGGGCTATTTCGGAAATATTTCCTGAATTATTCCAAGGGATCAGACGTGAAACCTCACTAATTTTTTGAAAGACAACTTGTATATAACATATTTCAAGAAAGATCATGTAGTAGGCGTATCTGCAACATATAACTGAAGCCAGGCCCTTTATGATTTACTTTCTAGAGTAGGTGTTTACTGACGATCATAGACAAAATGTGACTAGGTTAGGGGGTTGGAGTTTGCTTTTATTTCTTCAGATATTCTTCTGGATTAGGGTCTACTTGGAGACAGTTTTCATTTGGATATGAAAGGTGTAGTGATATGTTTTCCAAGTTCCTGTGTGTGAAATAAACGAAAGATCAATGTCTCTGTTGCTTTTTGAAAACCCTGTTTTTTTATGATAGATTAGCCAAAGTCACCCGCGGGTAACTGCTGGGGCTGTGCAGGACCCAGACTCCCAGACCCTGAGGAAATCATGGATTTGTTGTTTCATATGCACCACACAAGACTCTTTCTCTGTGGCATAAAAAGAAGACGAATGCACACATTTCTTTGATGATTGCAGTGATTTCATCTGATCAGGTCAGACTTTATTATGTAATAAGTGACAACAATCACAACAGGTCTCTAGTTAGAAACATGTGATGGCTAATACAACATTTATCAGTATCAAGAACTCCAACTACCCGAGGGATCAGGACATGTTAGGCCTACTGAAAACTGCTTCAAGTATGACACAACCTCCTAAATAGTGCACTAAGGGGGGGGGGGGGAATCTCATTGCCTCACCGTGGCATCTAGTGTAAAGAGCAAAATTCAGAGCTAGAAAGCAGAGGTTCTGGGTTATAGCTTCTTTTAATACGTCATGGACAACACAATAGCGCCATGGATTGCAGTAACTGTAATTTAATACATAGTTGTATTATCGTCCTTAATAATTCTGTCCCTTACCTTTACTTTGGCAAAGTGACTATCTAGACTACACCACTTTTAAGAAACATGGCAAACATTTAACATCAGATAAAGCTACCGTGCACTCACAATATTAGAAACCGACCGTTTTGGGAAAGGAGGAAGAGAGGGAAATGAAGCAACTTTTAGAAACACATTGGCGAGCAAGACAGATTTCCAAAAATACCCGACATCGACCACAGCTCACTTCTAGCTAAAAAAGACCAGATTGATTTCAAGTTCGAAAGGGGGGGAGAGAAAAAAAATTGCATCTGGGGTCGCTGGGGGATGGAAAAACAAATAAAAACCCAGCCCCCCCCCCCGTGCATTTCCACCCCCGGCGCTAGTCTCCTTTATTTCCTTTCTCCTTGTTCATCTTTTTCATTTTCATTCTTCTGTTCTGAAACCAGATTTTGACCTGTCTTTCTGTGAGGTTTAAAATCCTAGCTACTTCGTAACGGCGGTCTCGGGTGAGGTACATGTTAAAGAGGAATTCCTTTTCCAGTTCCAGAGTTTGGTATTTTGTATAGGGACAACGCTTTTTCCTCGTTGAACGAGCGTGGATCCAGTTTGCTGCAGGGTTATCTGGAAAAAGGGAAGCGGGAGGGAGACGGGAGTGAGGTGGGGTGGGGGGGGGGAGAGAGAGGTCGTTAAATTAATTTAACGAAGGATGGACTGTTTTCACAACTTGGGGGGGAATTATCATAAAAGCCTCGGTGCCCCAGTCTGTTTACTGTACAAACGATGTCTTGATGGTAGGTGGTTATGGGGAAGCCTTTATGGGTGCTTGTTGCTGCTGCGCTGGGGTAGGCGTCTAGACGTTTTTATAGGTTAGTAAAACTATCAGTTTTGCACATTGGAGCCTTACAGGTTTCGGCAATAAATCAAAGGGGGCGATTTCGTTCTCTCTCTCTCTCTCTCTTTTTTTTTTTTTTTTTTTTTACTTACTTGGGTCAAGTTGCTGCTGCTTCTCTTCCTTCAGCTCGCTGCTGGGGCTGGGGTTGTGGCTGCAGCCAGGGTTGTGGCTGCAGCCAGGAGGCTCCGCGCTGCTGCCGCTGCCTGCAGCCGCCTTCTCCCGGGGCTCCTGCAGGAAGGGGCTGCTCGTGTACTCGGGCGCACTGATCCCCTGGGACTCCCGTGCCGAGGAGCACTCAGTCCTTTTGGAAGAGGAGGAGGAGGAGGAGGAGGTGGTGGAGGACGAGGCAGCTGCCCCCGTCTCAGGCTTTATCCCGTAGTGGCGCCCGTTGGAGGAGCTGGCGCTGGAGCTGCTGGGGTAGCCCGGGAAGGGCTCTATCCAGGAGCGCACGTATCTGCCCGTGTCGCCTGCCCCTAACTGGGACTGGTGCGTGTAGGGGTGGTAGAGCCCTGTCATTGCCGCGGACGGCTGAGGATGCACCGTGGACCAGGAGGTGGAGAACACGGTGGATTTTGGCGCAAAGCTACAGGAGGCAAAATCTGAACTCTCTGCCACACCTGATGGCCTCGAGGTCGCACTGTGACCTCCCTGGGCGAATCTACTCCCGAAAACTTCTTCGCTGTCATGGCCTATGAGAGAATCGACATAATAGTTACTTATGGTGCCACTAGACGACATTTTTAGGCTCCCTCTTAGTCATAGAAAAGGTTACACTGTTAACTGTAGCTGATGCCCTGCCTGAGAACAATCGTAGTATTTTGCAGACTGCGAGCCTCAACCATTGGTTGCGGAGCCCACGTGATCATATTTACCAATACTGGGAGTAAATCAATCCGCTAAACTGGGGCTGCTGTGATTAAAAAAAAATCATCAGCAACAACAACACCGCCCAATTCAAGTGGGTGCTGGGCGCGGGGCCCGGGCGGCCCCTGCGCGCCGCTCCCCGGGGCTGGCGCCCTGCCCCGCGGGAGCCCGAGCGGGCGTGGCCTCGGCTGTCGGATCCGGCTCCAGTCCGCTGAGAAAACCCTCCGGGAAAGGGGGGGGGTCTTGCCTGCAAACAGCACCGCAGCCAGAGCCAACACTGAGTGCAGCGGCTCCTCGCCAGGCAGAGACATGTTACAGTAAAGCACTCTGTGGTGACTTCCATATTTCAGGGCAGGGACTTGCCTTTTCTTCTCCCCCCCCTCTTCCCCCTGTTCAAATAAAGCGTCCATGGGGGGGGGGGGGGGGGTCAAAAAAAAGGGCCCTGGGGGGGGGGGGGGTCGTCGCTGAAGAGAGATGCCCATTGTGTTGTTTTAAAACAGGTGGAAGACCTCTGTAATGATTTTATGTCTTTCAATAAAAATTTTATGAGGTGTATTTGATTATAGATTAATGTGCCCCTAATAAAATGGACTGATGGAACAGCAAAGCCTGTGTCTCCCCGCACCACTGACGTGTTGCTCAACACATGCTCCTCTATTTGGGAAACTTCGGGGCTCTGGAGCTCAGTTGTGGCCAAGCTCATTGTGTTAGGCATGCTGGTCCCTTCGCAGCTTGAGGAAGGGACAGTCGGCGAACGCTTTCCAAACGAAATCCCTGATAAACCCAGCACAGATATCAATAAAACCACAGCTGAAAACACCCCTGCGAGGTGAGCAGGCGAGAGACAGCTCTCTGGCCAGAAAGTGTTTTGCTCTTTTGCAGCCTTACGCACAGCCGGCAGCTTCGCACACGTCCCTAACCAAGCAAAACACTTCTCGCCAGGGGTTCGCCCTCCTCCAAAAATAATGTAGGGAGGATAAATGTTGCTTAAGCCACTTTATTGACGTGAAATGCCTCGCTGGGATTTTCTGCTAGGCTTCTCCTCTCCCCGCCCCGAGAGAATATTTGGTGAGGATTTCCAGCTAAATTACCCAGGTTCGGCAGCACAGCTCTGTTCCCCAGACAGACTGACGGTGGATGTATTGGAATCTGAAGAAAATGCACACAGTTAGTTCATAGCCCACAACGCAACTCCCTGAGAATATCACACAAAAGCACAGAGGAAAACATTTCCTACTCACTGGCTAGTGTAAGGAAGGGGCTGAAATTCCTGTTTATTTAGTGATTTATTGTTCTCTGACGCTGGGTTTTTTGCGTTTTGGCTCTAAAATCTTCCTTCGCGTTCGCGTGCTCCGGCTTTATTTGCTCTCCACACGCAGTTTGTTTCGTACTCAGGGATTGCACCTAATTATCCACAGAGATAAACTGATCAGGCAGGCAGGTTCAAATGAACGTCTTCATCTACTAAGCGTTTGGTATGTAGCCATCTAATTATATCCCCACCACTGCAAATTCTGGCGTGATGTGTCGAGACCCCTTGAGTGAAAAGAAAAGAAAGGGATGTTCAACTACACGTAGCACTGAATCCGCTGAAGGTCCTTGTTTTTAGCAGGGGCATTTTCAAGTCAGGGTAAATACAGCACACGGAAGTACCCCCGGCTTTCTTTAGCCTCCAACTGCTTGTGCTTTGCTTTGAGGAAAATACACCTACGTTTTACCCAGTGCTGCGAAGTGAGTGCTTTGAAGAGTATTTGTCTAACAAAAATCCCCGCGACAGCGAGCAAAATGTAATATCACCATATGCAGCCTGCCCCGTCTTCGTGGCATGGAGCAGGGGCGCCTTGGCAGGCTCTTGGATCTAATTTCTTGATTTTGAAACTGCCTGGGGAGAGGAGGGGTGTGTGTTGTTTAGAAGCTGGGTTGGGAGAGCAGGCTGTCTCCACACTGTTTTTCCAATACTGTTTGAAGGTGAAAGCATGTTCGAGCATTTGGACTTCAATTGGGAGTCATGTTCATTTGCAAGGCATTTGCAGTTCTGTTTCGAATATCTGCCCCCTGCTCGCTCTGCAAGGTAAAGTGGCTGCTAATAACGTTTTTTTACCAACACTTTACAGAAAGGTCTAAGAGGGGAGAACTGAATTATCCTGATGTGTGCTACTGACATGCAATTGCGGGAAATAAAACGACTTCTCGAGCAAACAAAAATGGTGCCGGTTGACAGAAGTAGGGCTGGCGAGACTCACGCTCTCCTCCACGCAATTTCGTGCCCCCCCCCCCCCCCCAATGTTTTCTGCTTAAAAACACGCAACCCTGGCAGAGGTCGAGGGAACTGGGTTCCCCCTCTGCAAGGCTCTGAGACCCCAGAGATGACCAAGATCTGAACTTTGGAGTATTTATTTAGCTCTGGCTTTGCGTTTCGTATGTTGCATTTTTAAGGAAGCAACTGAGGACGAGAAATCAAACTCTACACGTTGTGAGCACACAAGGACTGTTATTTTTAAAATCAACATGCTAACGTCAAATAAAATGACACGCATATTGCTGACAGCTTGTACGAGAGAGGGTTTTTTTTATCACTTACCATATATGAGTTGATTGGATGAGGATGTCCAGTTTAGGTGATAACATTTTAGCATCCTTTTTTTTTTTTTTGCATTCACTTTTCAGACTGAGAACGACTACACAATATTTGTTCAATGAATCAGTTGTTTACAGTCACAATTATAAATGAATTAGATGTACATTATTTTCCACCCCCGGTCCACCCCCTCCCCCAAATACCAGACACACACAAAGAAAAATAACAGAGAAAAGAAGCTACATCGACCCAAACAGCTGCTGGTAAAGAAGGACCGGGAAACCAACCTGCATCTGCACTTTTAAACATTTGTAGAGAGCCAAAGCAACCGCAGTAGTTTACAGAGTTTATTGCATTTATACATGCGAGTAGAACATGCACAAGAAGGACATATCGCTGTTGTATAATCACTACTATACCACATATGCACCACAAGAAAATGTCTACAATGGAGAAGGACTCAAGAATCCATTTGACGAAGGACAATGTCTAAGTTCATTCGAGAGGATAGTTACATTGTAATGTGCTTTGTTTTCCCCCAAAAGTTTTTTCTTTTTCTCTTAACGTACTGAATGTATTCAAAATGTTATGGCCCGTGTAATAGCCCCACATAAATACCATTTTGTTAGTAAAAACATGAAAAAGTCACATTGTTTGGATGTTCGACAGTTCCAATAAGTTAAGACCAAATGATAACGTTCAATAACAGTTACCCTGCATTACGATGAGAAAAAAAAATAAATTACACGTGCTAGGTTTATATATATATATATATATATATATATATATACACACAGATATATATATATATACTCATCATAGTAATACATATTCACTTGCAGCACTAAAAGAAGGACAAAAAGTCACATTCTATCAGAAAAAAATGAAAAATGAAGGTTTGTTTTTTCCCCCTCCAAGTCAGTCTTGCATTTAGCAACTGGTGGTGCCGTGCCCATTTCTCACTTCAACCCCAGGTTTACGGTTTAAGAGAAGGTCAGATTAGCGGTCAGTTCTCGGATTCGGTTCTCCCTGCTCATCTTCTTGAGCTTCATTCTGCGGTTTTGGAACCAAATCTTGACCTGCCTGTCAGTGAGGTTTACGCTCTTACTGATCTCTAGGCGGCGCTCTCGAGTGAGATACATATTGAATAAGAACTCTTTTTCTAATTCCAGTGTTTGATGTTTAGTATAAGGACACCTCTTCTTTCTGCCACTCTTTGCAGTTAACCAATTGCTTGTTGGAGTATCAGACTTGATTTCCTCTATCAAAATCAAAGAAGAAGAAAAAAAAATCAAAAATACCTCAGGCTGTTAAAGTATACCCTTGGCCATGAACCCTCCTCTATAGAGTCTGGCAGATATGTTAAATGTAGGATTAAACACTGCTAGTATGAGGTGTGTACACTGGAATAATTTTGTAATCGCTGCCAGACTCAGGTTAAATAGTTCAGATAACACGATGCACTCTTCTTTGGATTTTTCAGCCCTCTTTAAAAAAAATCCATTTAAAGTTTTCAACTAGCATTTAACATCTGAACAATATTTAACCTGCCATCAATCCAATGCTTACATTTTAACGGGGCTAGGCTGTCCATGACAGTACTGGGTTTATAAAACACTTGCTAAGAAAATCTCTCAATTAAAAAAGTATTAACACAATATATTTGGGATCAGCTTCCTCTCTATCATAATGTCGAATCACACAAACAGATGGAGAAGCAGGTAGGAGCAATTTTTTTCCAGCTAAAATTATCACATTTGAAATCAACACCCTCAGCCACGGATATTTTTCTTTCATTTCCCTTTCAGATTTTTTTTGCCATTAGAAAGAAATTGGTCCCAGATAAAACTGGACCTGGTTGGGTAAATATAAATGACATACATATACAAAAATATATGCACATATTGGATAAAAATCGACCTAGAGGTTGCAAAGTACATTTTCAGAAGGTATTTTTCCCCCGTTTTTTTAATACTCCACCACTTCCCGGTCGAAATTAAGGCTTTTGAGTCTTTATAAAAGGAAAATGCAATTAGTTAGCAACCTCTTGAAGCTCTTTAATACTTGTCAGAATAATGTTGCACTTTTTAAGACCAAACCCAGACTGTCGAAAGCACCACATTAAAATATTGCACTTTTCCACAACCAGAGAGCGGGCTCTTGCTTTAATTGTACGTTTGTTTAAAACTTTATCCAGCTTTGCAGCACCCCTTTCCCCCAATTTTAATAGGACCATAATTAACTTGCAAAGCACTCAAACCACAATTAGGCTCAGTGAAAATATTCAAGCAAAATATTCCAAGAGAAAAGTTGCCTTGGTCGTATTTTACAACCTCCAGACCTGCTTTTTAAAGGAATGTGGTTGTCTGAGACTGGACTACATTAAGGAGAATAAAATATCAATTCTGTGACTTCACAGAGGCTAGATGCATGCAAAGACATGGAGATATGAGCAAAAATCTTTTGTGCAGCATTTTCCCCTTCTAAAATCTTCAGAGAGACACAGCACCTGCAGCCCGGTAGCTGCTTATCATTAAATGTTATGGCTGTAATGCTTGTTAGTATATTATACTGTGTTTTATGATGCTGGCGTGTTCGAGTTATACCACGTTACGGTTTAAACTGTACGATACCGACCTTTACTTTCCTTCTCTTGTACTTCTGGGCTGGACACAGAGCCTTCAGCCAGGCAGCTCCTTTCCTCTTGCAAAGTGGACTTTGGCTCTGGACTTTCCACTTGAGAGACTTTAGCTGAGTTGTCTTGGTTGTTCGGGTTTTCATTCATTTTCTTTTCCATCTGAAGTTGAGAAGATATCTGCGGTTTGGAGCTGCCGCGAGGATTTAACTGTAACATTACAGTTGAACTCGTTTCAGGACTATTATTGTACTCTTGGGTTTTCCCAGTGGCGTAGGTCTGGCTCAGTCTAAAATATCCTGGGACAGGAACCTCGGGATTTTCAATGGGACATGATTCAGAGACCAACCTCTGGTAGGAAGGGACTTCTGAAGAAATGAGTTTTGTTCTCTTATCAGAATACATGCAGCAATTGCTTTCTTCTTTAATATTTGTAGTAAAGGAACAAGTGGGCACCTGCTGTGTAACAGGTTGCTCTATTCGACAAGATCTGTTCGGATCTGTCCAACTGTCTACTTGAGGTATATAAGGATGTACATTCATACCCATATTTTGGTGATTAACTTCTCTTTTAGCCAGAGACGGTAGAAGTCCACAGGTTTGCATTCCATAAGTTCCAATGTCTGTGCTAGGTGGCATGTACATGCTGGCGCTGTTAGAATAAAAACTGTCACTTCTACAGGCACTGATCAAAGAATCTACTAAAAAAGTATTAGCAGCAGGAGAGCTGTTTGGAAAGGACATTTTGGGGAGGAATTTGAAGAAGAGAGATTGTGTCCTTTGTAGGCTGACATCTCTAGGAAAACATTCCCTGTGTAATTGTGGATGCCTCTGCACAACCACATGACAACCAAGCCAATGAGATTTGAAAATGGCCTTGAGCCGCTACCTCCCCGCGAGTCACGTGCTCCCCGGGACAGTCCCGGCTGCATCTCAAGTGTGGTCAACAGCGACATCTAGAACGTCAGAGGGAAAGTGCTCCCTCCATGCAGAAGCCTTGCAAAGCATCCCTGGCGCACTGCGCTGATTTAAAACAAGGGGCTTTATTTATTTTATTTTTTTATTATTATTACACACAGGATGAGTCCGAATTCGCCGAAAGCTTGGCAGCTCGCTGTCCGTGGGTCGAAAGAGACGAGGAGGCTAGCACGAAACAGATCCTTGCAGCCATAAAGCCACGAAAAAACAGTGGCATGTACATAAGCAGACCCCCCCAGACTTTTGTGCAAGGGTAAATGTCGGGTGCTTTCCTTTTTGCGCGGAAATAAGTGGTTTCTTCTGACCGCACGAACGCCCATGACTTCAAGACCCTGTGCAGTTTCGTGCAGAAGACAATTATTTGCAAGCAATTTGTCCTGTGAGCAACCGCCCCTCCAGCTCACTGCTTGAGAAAGGAGCTTTCTCCCCACTTTCCCTTCATACTCATAAACCTGATCACAAAAACCACACACCACCTTAAAAGTTTTAGGCAACTGGATGTGCTGAAGCGTGTGAGAAATCCGAAGGTGTCATTTGGTTATTATGCAAAGAAAAATATGTTTTCCTTTTATGGATTTTGTAAAAGCATTGGTTCCTGACAAGTGCAAGGTACAAAAGGTTGTGGAATTTATTAATACATATTAAGAAGAATCAGGGCGATCAATAAAATTCTCATCTACATTCTTGGGCTACTTGGTAATTTTCTTGCTTCTGAAGCTTTTTAAAGAGTTATACCCTCTGTTGCCACACACGGGAAGATATTTTATTAACAAATCAATCGAGACTTTGTAAAGGACAAGATTAATAGTTAAGATTTAGCATAATGGCGTTCGCGTTATGAATTATTGAAAATTATACTATTGATTTTTTTCCTCGCTACTAACCAAGAAGGTCAATTTTTGTTTTAACACAAATCGTCAAATATTAAAAGCTATACTTTTGTCATCAGATGAGTTTTATAGTTACACCAGATTCCTAAAATTATTTTACAATTCTCTCTCACTCTGCTTGGGCAAAAAAAAAAAATAAAAAAAAATACTTGCCCTAGATACTGAAAGAACCATAAAGATAAATTCCTTTCTGTAGTATTCCTCATTTAAAAACATATAGAAAACTCCGAGTTTTATTACAACTGTTCAAGCAACTTCTTCTTTTTCTTTTTTTAGGAGAATGATAAATGCAGTTTGAATATTAAAAATAAATGACACAAGGCAACAGTAACTGCTTACTTAACAAAACAGACTTTTCTTGCCCGACACTTGGGATGTGTTTGGGACTTTCCCCCACACTTTACCACTGCTTGGACATCCCGGGCTCTTCCGCTAAGAATTGCAACGGAACAAACAGTTTACGCTTCTTATCTTTGTTTGTTGATTACTTTCAAACTCCCCCATTTCTGGTCTAAGGCTAAAGCTGCCAGGGACCTACACAGAGGCAAAGTGGACTTGTTGATAAATTTGGTTTCAGGTTCATCTGGTCTATTTATTTTGGGCCTTTGCAACACCCAAACACTTATTTTTTAGTCTTTAAGAAAATATCCAGCTATCTAAGAACAAGCAGCACGTGAAAAGGCGTCTAAACTGCGTCTCTGCCACAAAGCAGAGTTGCTGCTCGCATATCACACCAACGGGAACTGGAATTTTATCCTAATTCCTGACGTTTGAATGATTCTCACTTTTCGCCCCACTTTACATTGTTGGAAACAATAACCCTATTTAAAATTTCGCTGTGGCAATGAGACAGACCTTTTAAAACCTTATCGCAGCTGTTCAAATACAACATCATTGTCAGGTTAAGAGCCAGTGTCTTTTACAGCTTCAGTCTAAAGCTTCTGTGTTACCGGAGAGTTTAAATATTACCTTCAGAATATTAGCTGCTTTAAAGATTTCTCTGCCTCGCCTGCTCCCTGCCTGCCTCTCTGCCTCACCCCACAGGTCTGAGCGCCCTTGAAGAGCTAGGATAGAAAGGGGGATTTTTTTCCTTAAAAAAAAAAAGATATTTGAGATCATGATCAGAGCCATTGCTAAGATTTGTCTGAGCTCAGGAGCCAGCTGCCGTGGAGTTCACGATGCTCCCTGCTTGAGGACTGTATTTTTCCCCCTGCTTTCTAGCAATTTCCTCTTTTTCAACAACAGTCCAGACAACCCACAGAGTTTAAAGAAACAAAATACTATTTTCCTTGAAGCAGTTTAAGACTTGACTGTTAAATCTAATCAGGAATTTTATGCCCATCAAATGGTCTTTCATAATCTTTATTTACACTTTTAGAAGAGTCTCCCAGAAATATCCCAATTGAAGTATTATCTATCTCAGAGTTTTGCTGGGGATTTTGCCCAATGGTAAAGTTAAAACAATAACCTAGTGCTTAACTGCGCTGCAGCGTCTGGTCTATTTAATGAGCTGACTGGCTGGCTCCTAATTATATGTACCGTTTCCTTGATTTTAAATGAAAATAGGAATTCCTTCCATACCTATAGGTAACTCAGATTATCATTTAAAAATATATATTTCATTTAGGGACGTCCTAAAGCTCCTTCAGAACTTTTGATCGTAATAAATCACGACTTTTTAAAAACCGGACATGAAGGAGGACAGGATTTTGGGGGGAAGGAAAAAAAGGAACCTTAAGAAAGTTTAAGTCTGATGTAAATAGAAGTTGAATAAACATGGCATAGTCTTTGGGGAAATGGTGCCTTATTTAATGTCACTGTCGCTTTAAATCATATTAAGATGGAATAAAGTAATTAACATTAATAAATAAATCAATATTGTGCAATTAATGAGATATACAATCTACATTAATATAAAGGTTTTGATCTCAAAGCCCCAATTTTTTTCAAGGGAGAGGGGGAGGATCCACAAAAGAGCCCATGTATATCTAAACGACTAATCGTAATAAAATAGACGATGACATTACACTTTTCTGCCTTAATAAATGTTAGGAATAAAAACTCGAGATTAGAAAATGTCGCGGGGAAGTTGGATTTTCATTCCCTTTCCCTCCTCCGCCCTATTCCTGCGGACAGGATTCTGACACTCCAGGCTTCTTACAGATCTAACTGCAATTTGCAGTGTTCGTGACTCCTTTTTGAAGGGGGATGGGGCAGGGTACGGAAATAGGATGGATATTTCGCAGATGCATGAATCAGTTCAAGAAATATTGCAAGAAATCGCTGGCTTTAAAATAGCCAGAAACCTAGGAAGTATTTAGCAATATTACTTTAATGTAGTCGATTTCCGCACTTTATTGAGGAACCCTTTCAAAATGTGAACGGTGTATTTTATCTCTCGTTGCTATATTGCAGAGCGATTGAAGAACCGTTTTATTTGGGGGGGCGGGGGCGGGAATTAACCACCATCTCCTGACCTTTCTTTTTTTAATAATGCAACTGTCACTGTGCCCTGCTTTCCGTCTGTCCTGGTTCCAGAGAAAGAAGCAACTTCTTAGCTGACTGTTCCTATTCTTCGGATTTTTTAAAAGGGTGCCTTTCTGGATTTCCGAATTACTGGGGCTGATAAAGCAAACCTCCTTTATGAGCCCGGAGCTGGTAAAGAGCACTTTCGCCTTTCCGGCAGGGTAGCCTCTATTTTTGCAGCGTGTGAGCATACAGCAAAGCGTCGTCCCTATCCATATCCCTTTGTGCCCAGACGTGCAAAGCTCAGGGTCTGCTTGCCGGGTCTAGGATTCTAGCTGCAAACCGGCCCAGACGCCCCCGTCTAGCCCCTGATCTTGGGTCCTTCAAGTGCATGTTTATCTTTGCAGGGATTCCTGGCTGACTTCGCCTTTCACCAGAAATCCGCGGATCCCTTCTCGCTCTCCAGCAGGACCAGCTCCACAGAAATTTGGAAAGAGCGGGCAGCCTTTATTTTTTTTAAGAGCAGAGGCTCTCTCTAACCCCCGCACCATCACGTTTACACGATGACTCCAACGAGAACAAAGCAGCATTCCAATCAACTAATTGTTTGATCGACAGCATCTCTGCTTGCAGTGCCACTTCCATTCCTCCCGGAGGGCCGGTGAAGGAGGGCAAAGCGCTAAGGAGAAGCCCAGGAAGTGCAGGGAGCAGGCGAGATCTGAAAGCCACCAACCCACCCACCCGTGGCCACGCGAGCTCCTCTGGCAACGGAGGTGCCCATCTCGCGGGCGGACTTCTTTAGGGGGGAGGCTGTGGTCTGGCTTCTGTTAAAACGCGCTACCTTCAGCTCCTACGCCCCCAAGGCTTGCAGAAGCGGCTGGGCCGTTCTATTCCAGACGGGAAGGCTATTTCTAGGAAACTGTTAACAATGAACTTCTACAAAAACCCACCCTCGCAGACACAGTGCCAACAAATTCTTTGCCGGGGTCGGGTTTTTTTAAATGCGGAATAGGGCTGATCACTCATTACCTAGTCCGAGGGGATTGCTGCAAACAAGCAGAGAAAAAGCTGTCCCTGCTCTTTGGTGGTAGCACGCAAAGTGTGCCTTTGGAGAAATGAAATAGAAATCCGCTGGAGGATCTCCAGGAAATGCAGCGGGTTAGCTTGAATTTCCAAACATCTGCATTCCTTTTGCCTGATCTCTATAGTATTTCTAAGGGGAGAGGTTGTTATTTAGCAGTGCCCTGGCAAGGTGAGGTTCGGATATTAAAAATAGCTGCCCTGCGGTTTCGTTCTGATTTCCCCCTAAATAGGCATATCCAGAATAAAAAACCCGACTTCTGCTCAAATAAAAGGCATTTCTAAAACAATGCTATCTGCACGTTGACATCTCTTCAACAAAAGACTTGCAATAACCGTTTAAAGATGGGCTGTGCAAAGGAAACGCAGGTTTTGATAGGATTCTTGTTCTCTGGGTTTTAAGGCTGCACTAAAAGGAGTAAACAGATTTTGGCTCTAGTGAACGAATTCTGAATTCAACGGATTTTCGCCCTTCGGATTATGGGATTTTTTAGAGCTCGATGCATTACAAAAGATTACGACCCCCCAAAATTCTGGTCATGTGGCATATTTCTCGAGCACGTCACGGCTCTGGGTTATTTGTTTAATAAATCTTTTTGATGCTTTATTTTCTCATTTCGAAAGCCCTGAAATCTTATCGTTACTTATATATTAGATATTTTATTAGGAGTGGGATTATTATTAGGAGGAAAATATACTTGAACATCAGGACTATTGAGCGCTTTACCGAACGTGAGCGCGCCCTCCTGTGGAATTTGGCGACAAAGCACAAGGGAATTCATTTCTCTTGGGCTTTATTTTCAATTTGGATGCATTTAGGTACCTTAAAATAATGGATTTCTCTCTTTCTTTGTCTTCTGATTTTCTGTCTTTTGTCCTGACTTTTTACCTTTCTTTCTTTCTTTTAAAATAACACTTGCAAGCGGCTATGCCTGTAAAAATCTACACCGGCTCTATTAGCCTGCTCGTTTTTGTGATCACATCTTTGTGATGCCTTAGTTTTACAGGAAAAAATCATAGGCTCGGATCAGTTATTAAATGCACAGTACGGACATGAAACCAACAACAAAAATATTCGGAGTCCTTGGAATAAGACCCGGAAGAGCTCTGAGAATTTAGTTATAATGTGAAGCCAAGCGTGTTTAGTGGTTGCTTACAACTGCGTGTATTTCTAGGATATTTCCTGATAAAATATATTTGTAACGGAGCTAGCTGGAAATATCATTTTTCCTTGAAAAAAACCTCATGGTCTCTTATATTCCGCTGTGCTAATTTGAGTATTTTAGACCCTGGGGGCTTAATAAAGCAAGAAAAAGGTTTTAATGTATTTTCTGGGCGCAAGAATCGGGCAGGAAAATCAAAAATATATGGATATAACTAACCGATTAGATCGGGGAAATGTGCTAACTTGAAGTGACGGGGAAATATTCACAATGACAGTTGACATTGTCTTTGCGTGATGCATCTGCTAATATGGATAGCTATGCAGTAATAAGTGTGCGTGTGTGTGTGCGCGCGCGTGTGGTGTGTGTGTGTGTGGTGTGGATGTGTGTGTATGAGAGAGAGGGAGACAGAGAGAAAGAGAGAGAGTGGGTGGTGGTTGAAAATAACAGAGGAACCTTAAGGCGCCTAATTATTCAGAAAGGTTAAAGGTGATGACCTTGACATTTTGGAAGTTCAAAGGCAGACACTTATGTTTTTCTTGCTAAAGAGTTTCAATTTTTATTTTTACTGATCCTTCCCTGCGATTTCATCTTTGGGGAGGGGGTTAATTTGGGGTCTTTTTTTTACTTACTCGCCTACTTTTGCCTTTACTAGAAGCCAAGTGTAATGAGACCCACTCGGTTCCATTCAAAAAGCCAAATTCTTTTCTCACTCCTTTCCTTTATTGCACATTGCGGAAATCTCTTTTTCCCCCACCAGAAGGTGTATAATATAACCCAATTAAGCTGTTTAGATCCTCGGCTTTTATGGTGTTGTCTAGACAGTTCAAGGTTTTGTAAACAGCTTAGCCAGGTCACGCAACATAAAGTGAGGAGAGACTTCCACCAAACCCTTTTACTTTAAACATAAAGACGAGGCCGGTTCTTTTTTAGGGAGCTAGTCTCATTTTTGCGGTTAAAAATAGGATACTAGCATCGACTGGGTAAAAACGGTCTTTCAAATATTTACTCTCGTTTTCCTAAACTTCTTTAAGAAAAGAACAGCTACAAATGTTTCTGGCTGCCTGTGGTTGGAAATGCTCAGGGTCCTCGTGCTGACCTAACCCTCACTGACAAGGAAGCTTTCGTCTGAGCTTTGGGTCCTGGGCTTCTCAGAAGTCTGACCTGTTAAAAAGGCTTTTTTCGTTATGTATAGGAATTATGGCACCATCAGAAGTGATGGGCTGCAGACAGCCATGTTTGATCTTCCTTCCACTTCAGGGCTATCCCTGAGGGCTACACATAGCTAAAAACACAGGAGTCAGAGCTCCAAACTAAGGTTAATTTTAAATCCGTTGAAAATAATTTGACTTGGCTTCCTCCATTTTTATTTAATGGGACTTGGCTCTAGCCCGGTGAACGCTATGATCCTTCAGAGACTGAAATCCATACAGTGCACGGAAGATATAACCTGAACTTTACTAGAAACCCTTTATTCACATGAAAAAGACAGTGGCTCATGCGTTTATATGACAATAGAAACATATATATATATATATATTTATATAGATTTATATCGAATGTACATTTACCGTCTTTTAAATAAACTGCATTCATTTAAAGGGAGAAAAGGGTTATCCTAGCTGAAACCAACAACAGAAAATATCCCCAAACTCACTTGTTTTTTAAAGCAAAAACTACCAGACACACTGCAGGTCCAGTGGTGTCACTCACTATGAGAAAGAGAGATAGACAGAGAGAAAAAAAAGGGGGGGGGGCGGGGGAAGAGAGAGGGAGGGAAAAAAACACCTTTGGCGATCAACATTTTAGAATGGACTTTTTGGATTTACCCTAGGTTCCCCTTAGCAGGATTGTGCTCCGCCAAGCCCCCGAAATCTCCAGTGGACATGATTGTTGGAAGGAACCAGAGTTGAACATGAAAAGGAAACTTTGAGTTCCGCAGGGTGGATGTGTCATGGAAACCCATTTACTTTTGCGTTCAGATGGCAGCTTGGCTAGAGAGGCAGAGGTTTTCTTTTCTTGTTATTTTTCTCTCTTTTTCCCCCCTTTCTGATTTCTTTTAAAACAAGGGATTCCCAGTGAAATATTGGAGTCGATCTCTGTTCAGTTTCTTTTCTTTCATCCTTCGATTCTGAAACCAGATTTTAACTTGCCGGTCAGTGAGGTTCAGCATTCTGGACAGCTGCAGTCTCTTCTCTTTGTTTATGTACACGTTGAAGAAAAACTCACGTTCCAGTTCTCTTATCTGGTATTTGGTATAGGGGCATCTCTTTTTCCTTGATCGCTGAGGAACTGCTGGAATTCAGGAGAGAAGAAAATGAGTGGTGCTGGTCTAGGAAACACTTTAAGCTCACAACAGCCTAGAGCCTGTGACAGTAACCCACTGCCTACAGAGCAGCACCCTAGCAGCCCAGAAAATATTCAGGGAGCCTGGATTCTCTGGGTGACTTTGCCAAAGGGGAAAATACCCAAGTGCTCTTCCAAAGAGCCCGTTCGAGCAGTTCCGGGGGATTATTTAAATTGGGCTGGAAATAGTCCAAGTTTCCCCGACTGCTGCCCCCAAGAAGGGAAGACACTGTGCTCTATCATGAAGGGGCACAAGCTGGGAAATCTCTCTGGCCCCCATCCCCCCTCCCCCCCAAAATCAAGGATTTAACAACAATTAATATCCTCCTCCAAGAATACCTTAAGCCCACCTAAATTGGTTTCCTATCGTAAACACGCTTTACAACGGGCAAGGAAATCTTATAGGATATATAAAATCCTTTGGATGCTTATAAAATGGCACATAAAATGCGGCTTGACAAAGTGCTGGCCCTGCGCTCTTGCCCCCAGCTTCTTCCTGGTACCTACCTGAACTGTTGCTCTTCTCTGCAACAGCCTCGCCAGAAGGGGAATCGGCGCTGTTTGCTGGTGTCACTTTCTTCTCCTGGCTGGAAGGTGTTTTACTGCAAGTGCTGCTCTGAGCCTTCAGGTCGCTCTTGTCGCCGTCCCCCTCGGGCTCGGACTGGGGCTGGTACGGAGGGCCAGGGGCCGGCTCGTAAAACTGGTCAAAGCCTTGCGGAAGGATCCCGTTCCTCCCCACCGAGCTGTAGAAGTTGGAGGCAGCGCCGGAGGGTCCGTGGTGATTGCACACAGGGTCCGTTTTGAATAACATTTCCGTCCTCCTGTTCGCGGGCTGCAGAAAGTCCCTGTGCATCACCTCCTCGGCGGAGTAATAGGGAGCATAACTGCCCCTGTACTGCCATTTGCTGCGCTCTAATCCGTATTCCCTGAATGCCATTTCCCGCACAGGTTGCACATGAGGTAAATTAGAAGAATAAGGGAAAGTCATTTGACAGGAAGACGACTGCGACAAGAACGAGGGCTTCGTGGAGAAATCCGAAGGGGAGACGTAATAAGCACACCCCGGCAGATACATGTTGGCTGCACTGTGGCTGCAGTCCTCAAACTCGGTCATGTCTCCCCGTTGGCGGTGGCAGGCGACCGGGAGACTTCAGTGCATTGAACAAGATCCATCTATTGCACAAGAGGCTTTGGACAGGATCAACTAAGAAAAAATCCCCACCGTGTGCTGACGTGCAATTCATCTTGATTGATTCTAGTGGTAATTATGTCACGTGACGCAATGTAGAAATGTCCTTATATCTATATCAGCCCTTCGGAAAGCCTCCCAAGATCTCTCCAAAGAGCCTCCCGGCACCGAGAGATGAGCCAAGCGCTCGCACCGACATCCCGGGGGGCTTCCCCCCATTCCAGCCCGGGAGGGCGACACAGGCGTAGGTAGAGCAGCCCGTCACCTGGGAGGCAGCCCCCTGCCCGCCAGCCCGCGGCGTCCCCTCCGCCCTCCCGCGCCCCCCGGGTCCGCAACCCCTCT